ACCTGCAAATGTGAGAGGACCTGGGAAAAGGGCCAAGGATTAAGTCCAAAGGACAGGGACAGGAGGCTGCCTCTGACCACATCCCACTCAAACTTGGAGTTAGGGAGAAAATTCAATTTTATTTGTGTATGTACCTCCTAAACCCTAAGGCATTTATTATGGGTGGAAAGAAAGCTATTTAAACCTACCTGGCTATTGACCTTCTTTGGTCAATGGCCAGGTCCTGAAGCAAGAAGGTCCTGAGTTCAGTTCCACTACCAGGCCTGGTGTGTAGTACAGTGTTCCTGGTGTTCTGTGTGTAGTTGCATGTTCTCCCTGTGTTTGTGTGGGTTCTCTGCGGGTATTCTGGTTTCCTTCCACATTCCAAAGAAATTCAGTAAATGGGGATAGGTTAATTGGTAACTCTAAATTGCCTAAATGTGAGTGTGAATGGTTGTCGGTGACCTGTCCAGGGTGTACGCTGCCTCTTGCCCTAAGACAGCTGGGATAGGCTCCAACCCTCCCGTGAACCTAATAAGGATAAGCGGATGAGAATGGAATGGATGGACAGCCACATTATAGGTTTGTGAACATGAATGGCCTTTTTCAAGGTTATGCCAAGTATCTCAATCTGATTTAAGTCTGAACTCTGGAGGTGTTTCATACCATTTTCCTGTTGAATAACCTAAGTGAGCTTGGACCTTCAGGACATGAACTATAATTGTTGTTTTTAATAAAATGTTGTCGGTTTTATGCCAGATGTAGCAGGATTCAAACCTTCCAAAAATTTAAACTTTTGCCTCGTCAGTCCACAGAATATTTTTCCCAAGTCTGGGGGATCATGTTTTTTTTTTTTTTTTGTTTGTTTGTTTGTTGAAATTTCAGTAATGTCTTTGTGTTCAGATTGGTCAGCAGTGGTTTTCTCCTTGTAATTCTCCCATGCATGTCATTTCTCCCCAGTGTCTTTCTTTTTTTCGAATCATGAACACTGACCTTAAGTGAAACTAAGGCCTGCAGTTATGAACCAAAGAATGATGTTCTGGGTGATAAAAGTTCTAGTTTACATAATTAATTATAAAGCATATAGGTGGTACCCCATCATATATTTTACAGTTGTGTCCCAAGGGGCAACCTTTGGGGCTCAATATGAATCCAAAGCAGAAAGATCAAAACCTGCAGTACCTCTAAGGGCCACTTGAAACCTACTCTAGAGCTACGTCAGTCCATTTAGACTTCCACATTAAAGGGGACAAATGTGAAATATTATTCCACAGATGTGTTTACAGAGGGCATGCACAACAGAGTAAATTTAATAGAGAAGCTTCTATTTGAAGAAGGTAATGACTTGGCTTCTAGCTGGAGATGACGTGAGCTACAGAGGTCTTTGTCTACCAGAAGAGTTAATATAACTTCTCTCCTTCAACTTTTACAATCTCATTAGAAATAATGACTAAGTGTGTGTGTGTGTGTGTGTGTGTGTGTGTTTTTCTAGATGAAAAAGCTGTTTCCTTAGAGATGGTGCCCTCCAGGAGGCGATGACACGGCAGCATGTCAATGAAAAACTGAGTGGCAGCATGTTGCTCTGGTTAATTTGATTGGGCCCTGGATACAGGCCAATATGGTGGTTCCATATGGTGTACAGACTTCAAAACCAATTTGATATCTAATCAAATCAAGACTAAAATGGAAGATAATGATTTTCAAATGCAATTCACATAGAGAGACAATGATGTTGACTTTCCCTGAAGACAACAGTTACACAATATCACATAAACTTTTGAAATATCAACATCATATCTATTGTTTGTTTACTACATGTGTTTACTTTTGGTAAATGAGTTCATTGATAACTACTTGTGTGCGAAAATACAGTATTAGCAATAATTTGACAAAATGTACAGAAACTAACTGTACTGACATTTTGTACTTGGTAAACATTTAAAAAACATAAATGATAAAATACAAATTTTCAGGCAGTGTAGATAGAAGAAATTTGCAGTCTTTGTTGTTGATTAATTCAATAGGTGCGGTTTGTTCTTTGCGTTGGTGGATTCATTAAACTATTTATGGCTAAGTCAAGCATTTATTATCCAGTGGAGAAATTGTTATTTAAACAATGTCTTTCATGATCCATGATTCCATAATCCACATATATATGAAAGCTTACACAGGACTCCCTGACACTGCACCATTAAGACTGTACTGATTAAGGTTATTTTTAATGCAAGGTCCAAAAGTAAATATCTGTATGAGATTACAACTAATATTAGTGGTTCATATTTACAGAATGGTGCTTGATTATATGCAAACACAGAGATTGATACTGGTGAGTTTAGTTGAATGGGTTGTTTTAGCTGTGCAGATATTTCAAATACAGCCTTGCAAGCTGAGAAGTACTTCAGCAAGACCGGAGAGTAATAACAAAACAAATATAATAGCAAAATTGTTTTAGAAAAGTGATTCGGCAATGTCATCACTTCAAAAGTGTAAAATGAAATTGCTGAAAGAAATATATTAGTTACTCGTCTTTTGTTTTTGTGTTGTTGTTGTTTTTATCTTATTCTTTTTAGCACTTCCTCCTCACAGTGCTAAAAATATAGACTTTATTTCATGATATCAGTGCAGAGCTAGGCAGTGAATGTGAAAATTCAAAAGGTTTCTCTCTTTGACAAGCATGAATATAGTCAGCAAATGTCAGGGTGACCAACCTGTTACGTTCTTTATTCAGTGTCTTCTGTGCAAGTTGAATTTTGGTGCAAAAGTGCTATAGAAGAAAGGTCAGCTGGGATGAATTAATGTGTTTGTGCATGATAGTCTTAACAAAAACGTTTGACTTTTTAATGTAACCTAGTGGGTCCTCTCAGGAAATGTGCCCCTACTGAAAATATCCAGAAATATTTATACTTGCATACAGTACCGTGGACAGGTCTAGAGCCACCCATCATTTATTGATATTTTGATAGGAAAACGGGAAATACGTGCAATAATATATTAGTTAGGACATGCCCAAAAACACTGTGCATCAGGCAAAAAATCAAAAGAAAGAAGGAAAAAGCCTTAGTACAATTCTTAAAACCTAAACTGGTCATTGGCAATCAACTTATTGGGGCACAAATACAATTTTATGTCCATATACACTGTGTTTACTTTTTAGCATTTATCAATGAAAGAAATCAGAATAAATTATGTGTTGACAAAGCACCCAATTTCCAAAAATACCCCCCCAGAAAACATGGAAGACTATTAGCAAAACCACACAAGACCAAAGTAGTAGTAAAATAAGAAGAGATCAAGACTTTTGCACTGTACTATACTATACTTACAGTATAGTTTCCACCAAAGATATAATAATAATAATAGTAATATTAATAGGGCAGCACTGTGGAGGGTGGTTAGCACTGCTGCTTCACAGGAAGAAGATCTGCATGTGTTCCTGTCCGTGTCTGAGTGGGTTCCTTCCAGGTACTTGGCCTCCAACAGTCCAAAGACATGCAGTTTTTTGGGTTAGGTTAACTTGTGATTCTAAATTGCCCATAGGAGTAAATGTACCTGTGAACAAATTAGTTATGGCTGAGGCACAGCTTGTTCAGTAGGTTCAGTTTGAGGTTTGTGGTTTGTCTTACACCTTCTGCCACCTTAAACTTTCGAAGGTCATAAAAGCATCCAAACACTTTGTACTTTGCTGTAGCTTTTATTCAAAAAGCTTTAACTATTTTGAAATGCAGATTTACTATTATGTATTATGTATGCTGTATTAAAAGAATAAAGCGACTCAGAAGTATATAATTAAACTCCAGCTGAACAACACTGAAGTGATATACACAGTAATGACTTAGCAATTATGGCCCAATAATAAAATGGATATGATTCTGAAAAGGGCCATTCTCCATAATGAGTACTCTTACTCTAAATGCTCTCTTTTGTTGCTAAAACCCTTGCACTTTGTAAATAGGATTATGAATTTTACTAAAGAGTCTTTGCAAAACAGTCCCATAAAAACAGTTTGCAGGCTCTCGTGGAGTGGAGTGCTACCTTTTATGTAATCTGTTACACATGAACCTGAAAATCATAGCTGACAGTGTTTTCTGTTCTGTGTTTATTTCTGGTCAAATATTCTACACCCCTGTACCACCTTACTGTGTGAGGGCTGATAGTCACTCTGATGTATTTACAAGGAAAAAACTTTTCAGGCTCAAATTTTTAATAGCGTTAATCCGCGTTTGTTTCTCTTTAGCCCGCTGTGCCTGGGTAGCCTTTAAAGACTGTAGATCAGGGATGTCAAACTCATTTTACATTGTGGACCACACACAGTCCACTTTCATCTTAAGTGAGCCGGATCAGTGAAATTCCCTTTTCTGTCTGTGAAAAGATATTTAACGACACACTTAAGCCCATTTAATATCAGGAAAAAAAGTGGAATTTTGATAGTACGTCTCAGTTTTTCTACGTGATAAGAAAGGCTGCTCTTGCAAATGAAAGAAACCTGTCAGCACAAATAAATAAATATGTAAAATTATAGAAAAGTTCTGGAAGCTCATTGCCTGAACTCTCCTGCAATTACAATAACACAAAAGAAATTCATAGTTAATAATTTTGTTAACAAAAAATATTAATAATATAGAAATGTCTTGCCATGGAGGGGCTCTGTAAACTATAAAGTTTTAGAAAATGTGATGGAGAGCACAGATTTAAGACTTCTTACTCTCCAGTGGGACGAATTGGACTCTTTGCCCGGCCGATTTTGGCCACTGGGCCGTATGTTTAACACCCCTGATTTAAACTATCAAAGTTGTTTTGATTAGATATTTAAACCTTTATCCATTTCATTTAAAGGAAAAACACTCGAAGCAATAGTCAGTGGCAGTTATAATGCACATCCTGTACCCTAAAGTAAACTTCGAGCTCTTGTAGGTTCAAGCAGATGTTAACAGCTTCAACTTTTCCTTCCTAAAATGGCATGATGATGGCCGGAGTTGAACTGCAGACTCCGCCCACACACTCAGGGCCGTGTACCTTCATGTTCCAGCTTCTCCAGTCCCTGTCCTCTTCTGGCTCATTCACTCTTTAATGTGGCCATAAAGGTTTAAATAATGACTGACAGTGGAGAAGGCGACGTTGAATTCCAGTTTCTACAGACGGTGAGTCAGACAGCTTACAAATTAAACATACAGGCCAATATTTAGTCAAACAGAGGTCTTCATTGGCTAGCAAAACAGCCAACCATCACCGGAGGTTTAATAATTAGTAAGTAGCTGTACTAAAGGTAGCACTTAGGGTTACCTATTTAGCTTTGTTTGAAACATTATTAGTGTTTTTTTTTAATTAATTAATTTGTTTAATTAAAGTTATATGTAGGTTTCTGTCAGCAGCAATTATGCAATCATGTAACCATGACACTGTTTTGTGCGCAGATGCCTCCATACGCACGTCATAGTAACAGCATTTCACTTGTTTTGGGCTAGCTGACTAATAGCCTTATTAAAAAACAGAAACCAACTCACATGATTTTAGTCTATTGCTGTAGTAACTGATTAGCTGATATAGTTTATTTAAGGTCAGGTGTCAACAGTGATGCATATCCCAATCAGTTAAAAGATTATCATATCCCATTTTAATTAAAATCGCTACATTTTATTCAAGAATAAATATAAATAATAAAATGTTAATGTGATAATAGTTTAGCAACAACAGTGACAGCAAAGGGAGGCCAAAAATGGCTTCTCTCATCTTCACTGCAAGATGCTATTATTGCTCTGCAGCTGTAAGTTGTCCTCTCACAGCTTGTAATCTTTGCCCTCTGATAAGGGCATGTCACATGGAGGGCGTCTGGAGTAGCTGAGACACATACACATTCACACAAAGCCAGCGATGTTCATCATCCTGAGCCCAACACATAGACTGGAGAGAAGTCATTTTGCGAGATCCATCTACGATATCATACTTTATTATATTAAATGCAGGATTTCCCCCCGCAAAGTTGTTCAACCGTGGTATTAAGCTACCCGGATCCTGATGGAGCTTTCCTCGTTATCATTTAGTTAGTAGATGACAGGGAAAACACACTGTAATAGACCCAGTGATTAAATATATGACATTTGTGAAATGGCAACAATGTTATATTTGTTATAAAAATGTAGTCATTTTTTATATGCAAAGAGGTCCCAATTCCACCATTATAAATAATACAAGAAACCTTAAGAAGACAAACAAAACTGCAGCATTTTCAATTCGAAAACACTCGAAGTGAAAGCCTGTTAGATCTGAAATTTAAGTGTCCCTTAAAAAAGACTCCAAGTCCTGCTCTAATGCTCTAATGTACCTCTGCATTGGACAGTGTGTTTGACTGATTGCAGAGTACTGCAGATATGAAGAGTGGAAAGAAGGGTAAATCAGGGGTCAGACTGTGCAGTATCTTCCCAATATGGATGTTTGCAGCCTGGGTACAGAGAGGTGCTGGTTTTATTGGCGACTGGCCTGTCGCCTGCTGTCGTTCCTAACAGTTCCTCAAATAAACAGAGAAACTTAATTTGGCCGACGTGGTATTTAAATGCAGATAAGGTAATGTTGACAGCGACTGAGATTTCCTTATGTGTTTACAATAGGACTGCACAATGGGGCAGTTTTGATGCTATACCTAAAAATTCACACATTTCATAGTTTAAAGTTGTTTTAACATTTAAAAAGCAAAATAGGACTGAATTTCTATGTTCGGTCATTGTGGCCAAACACGTTTCCTCCTCTGAGAGAATTGAATTACATGATATGAGAGGATGAAGATTTTTTTCTCTGAAGCCAAAACTGCTTCACTGACTTTCTTTTTAATTAATTCACAAGATAAAATTTCAGAGGCGTTTTGGTGTGATGGAGGTCTTTAGCTGATCCTATCCAACAAAAGCTTTCATGGTGAAATCTGGTGGATCTCAATATGTGAATGCGCTCTCTGGGCTTCTCTAACTTGAAATCTGTCATCTGTGTGTATGTGTTCTGCACAGGGAGATGAGGTGGTTTTGCAGAGTACCTTCACCTCCCAGGAGGAACATGTGAAGCTATGTCTTGCTGCTGAAGGATTTGGCAGCAGACTTTGCCGGCTTGAGCCCACCTCTAACTGTAAGGTAAGGAGCTCTACCTGTGTGACTGCACAGTCCTCCCTTACTGTCAGACAACTCAGTTTGCCAGTTATACAAAGAGAGAGATGACTGAAATTTCCAAATATTTCACTGCACATGGACAGTACATTGTGTTTATTTTTAAGTATCCAAAATTTTAGTTCCTTATTGGTTTTTGTAACTCGAGCATTTTTACATGCCTTCCTTCCCAGTTTGGACTGCCCATTGCCAATTTGCCATGGTCTTTGGCACTAATTGCACTGTTGGCCTGTGAAGGGAACAGCCAGGCATGAAATTACCTCAAAAACTCAAATGTCTTTTCTTTCTTTACCAGAATGTTCCACCAGACTTGTCTGTGTGTGGCTTTGTCCTGGCCCAGTGTCTTTCTGTGCGAGCCCTGCAGGAGATGTTGGCCCACAGTGAAAACCTGGCTGCAGAGGTCTTCTCTATTATTTCTCCCATAACCTTTATATAAATTCAATGTTCTCACTCAGGGCTCCTTATTGTTCCGTAAACATATGATTTTCTGTCATTGTCATTTTGCAATACATATGTCTATTTTTGAGGTATAAATGGAAATATTATGATAAAGTCAGTATATGTTTTTATATTTTTGTGATATTATTAACCACAGTGTGGATGCGTAAGGATTTTGTCTGTGACATTATTTCAGGGAGATTTGTTTTGTATTTATTTATATGGATAGCACAGTCTTGAAACACTGATCTAAGAAACACGGTTAAGCTAGAACAGCTTTACATTAGAGTTATCGTAAATTAAATAACTTGTAAACAAACTGTTCACACATCGGAAGGATGTTTTGTTTATCTCTTTTCCTGTTTAACTGTTTTCTGAAGTTTAAATTGATCTTTGTGTATTTTAATCACATACAGGTGGGAGCTGGAGGTAGCCATCGCACCCTTCTATATGGGCAGGCGGTATTGTTTCTACACTCATACAGTGGCATGGTGAGTTAGCTTATATATATAACACCCAGCACGCCCCTGCGGGCGGTTTATCCTTCAAGCTCGGGTCCTCTACCAGAGGCCTGGGAGCTTGAGGGTCCTGCGCAGTATCTTAGCTGTTCCCAGGA